TCGCTCCACGAGTTCCTGGACTGGAGAAAACTCAAGCTGCTCCCGCAGAGACCCCACGATAACGCTCAGCTCATCAGGTTTGACTGCTAAACGCGTTTACTGCTGAGGGCCGGCAGGTGGAAAACACAGCATGCGGTTTACCACCAGAATCAATGCACTGTTTCCTCCAGGAAGAATTGCGTCACTATTTATTATTTTGAAATGTTGAAAAATGTGTGAGGTTTTATTCACATATTTTTATTTAAAACACTTTGTTTCTATTGAAACTTTACCCAGCTTGCTGTAGATGAATGTCACATAACTTCCTGTTTTCCCTCTTCAGTGGCGTTTACTTCCAGGGCACCACCATCGGCATGGCTCCCATTATGAGCATGTGCACTGCAGAGCAGTCAGGGGGCATCGTCATGGTGAGTGACATCTGTCAAGCATTCGTTATGACAGAGAGGTTTAATTATATTTTTGAGCATTTAAAAAAAAATTTTTTTTTGTCTTTTTTACAATATGTCTACTGTTTTATTTGAACAGAGTTGATTATTTTGAAACCAAAGAAACTTGTGAAATGTTTTGGTGTTTTGCTTTGAAAGTGCATGTGAGATATATTTATTCAAAAAAGGTACTTGATTTTATATGTTCGTATAATGCAAAGGAATTGTATAAATATATAACATTACATTTATGTATTTTATATATGAAATAATGTTATAATGTTATATATTTTATATATTAGATATTTTATACATTACTTCAAGCATATTGGAGACATTGCCAGTTTTCTACTGACACACTACAACAAAAGATCTGTGTGTGTGTGTATATATATATATATATATATATACATATATATATATAAAATGCTCAATGCTGCAAACCGAGGATAAAAAAGAAATCTTATGCAACTTGAGCAAATCTGAAGTAAATGTAATGCTGTAATCGTGTGTGTGTGCGCGCGTGTGTGTGTGTTTTGTCATATGTCTTTGTTATATATATTTTATTTATAAGTCTCATTGCAGACATCAGTTAGTTTTTGAATACAGAGGTTACTCGAGGTTGCTGCGGTTCTAACTTTTAGATGATCATCTCCTCCTTTACTTTGTCAGAAGAGGACAGTAACTCACTCTGCACAGCATATATATATATAAAATGCTCAATGCTGCAAACTGAGGATAAAAAATAAATCTTATGCAACTTGAGCAAATCTGAAGTAAATGTAATGCTGTAATCGTGTGTGTGTGCGTGTGTGTGCGTATGCGCGTACGTGTGTGTGTGTGTGTGTGTGTGCGCGCGTGTGTGTGTGTTTTGTCATATGTCTTTGTTATATATATTTTATTTATAAGTCTCATTGCAGACATCAGTTAGTTTTTGAATACAGAGGTTACTCGAGGTTGCTGCGGTTCTAACTTTTAGATGATCATCTCCTCCTTTACTTTGTCAGAAGAGGACAGTAACTCACTCTGCACAGCCGTCTAGAGATGTTTTCCCTAAATCAACCCAACACACTGATTACCCAGCACTGCACCATAACATCCTACTGAGACATGAAATCAAAGCAGCTCTCTGAGATACAGATCGAGGGAAAGCGCTGTATGTGTTCTTGCACAGCTAATGAGTTGAAGTTAGTTAAACTCTTGACATATTTATAGCCGGCTACCTGACTAATAAGACCTCCGGTTTAATAGCATAGACATTTGAAACTGTTGCTTTCATTCTGCTTGAATAGAGTGTGTTTCTGGCCTCTATGTTGGAGTAAACTGGACCATCTCAGTATTTGAGCTTTGATTGAGGATCCCATTATATGAAGCTTCTCCATTATAGATCATTATAGTCACATACGGTTTCTTCCAAAACTTTTTAACTTTGTCTGTCAAAACAGCAGACATGCATGTTTTCTTCATTGACTGAGTCATTCATCGGATGTGTTTTATTTCCTTTGGCCGCCTCTTGAATGTCTGACTTTTGTTTTTGCTGTTTGACTGAGTGGAGTTGCCACCATAAAAGCCACAGTATTTCACAGAAAACATGGCACGATCTCATGACATCTTGTGTTCGGATGAGGTTTTGTCCTCGTTTGACCAGTTCCCACTAAACTAAACTAAAGCTTTCTGAAAATGCAATGAGCTACACAGACAGCAGCAGATTATAGATGATTGTGTTCAGCTCCCCGGAGCGTCAGAATTCTCCAATCACACATCCAGTGGAAAGAAAATTCACAAAATGACATGAGAAGAGATTAAATGGAGTGCAAATGGAGACTTTTGCTTGTCTTTTTTATGCTTAAAGGGGTCATATGATGTGATTTCAAGTTTTCCTTTCTCTTTGGAGTGTTACAAGCTGATTGTGCATAGATAAGATCCCTGAAGTTGCAAAGACTAAAGTCTCAAATCCAAAGAGATATTCTTTATCAAAGTTAAGACTCTGCCACGCCCCCCTAAAACGGCTCGTTCTAACACGCCCCCACATATCTACCTCACTATGTGGGAATATTTGCATAATGCCGCCCAAA